CCCCCCCCCCACTGCCACCAAGGTCAGCAGCAAGCCAATCCTCATGGAAAACTAAAAACTGCAACTGTTAAATGGACAGAAACTCATCCCCCAGCACACATGTACACGTAGGGAGAATAACTCTCTAGAAACATGCACATCCTAAATGATTCTCAATGAGACATGCATGTAGACACGGAGAGCTACATCAACAGAAACAACCATTACAGCACACATTCCCTCAGAGAGAAGCCCAGCTCTAGATCCTAGTAATTAGCAGCTGATTGGCCTCTGTCATCATCTATCTGCTCACAAGACACAGTGAGGGAAGTTTAAAAGACTCAATTGGCGCAGATGACTGATGGACAGCTTTTAAATTGACAGAAGAAATAATATGTTCCCCTCATCCTCAGGCAAACATGCACAAACAATAACTTGAAATATGCAAATCTTAAATGTTTCACTCTCTCGTATATAATAAAGACATGCATGTACAGCTACAAATACACAACCCTAACAGAAACAAATATTTGGCGTTGCAGCACACATTCCCTCAGAGAAAAAACCCAGCTCTAGATTGTGGTAATTAGCAGCTGATTGCCCTCTGTCATCATCTATCTGCTCACAAAACGAGAGAAGTTTAAAAGACTTAATTGGCACAGATGACTGATGGTCTTAACACAGGAGCGGACTGGCAGTGCAGGCATCTGTGATTTTTTTTTAAATAAACACACAGCATACGTACAATATGCTCCCATACTGACCCAATCCAGAAACCCAGGACACAACATGAGTGTCAAATCTGTGCCCTACAGAAATAGTCGCGGGAAGCATATGTGGCATATGTGGCAGGGCGGTGGGTCAAATCAATTTCAGCTCGGAAGTTAAATGATAGGCTCAAATGAGTTATTATTAACCAGGATACCGGATTTACTTCTCATTAGATATTTGATAAAGTGAAGAGTTATATATAAATGTCATATTGTAAATGTAAAACAAAAATGTATAATTTGAAAATTAAAAAAATAACCAAACAGCTGCTGACATATACAAATTGCATAAATCCAAAAATGGGAGAATGATTTGGGAACTGAATATAGAAGATGATTGGCAAGCATGTATAAACTTAATCAGAACCACATTTATGTGTAACAGACTGAGGGAAACCCAGTATAAAAGTATTCAAAGGCTGCATATTACTCCTGTCACCTCATATAAAATAGACAGTTGCGTTTCCATTTAGGTTCATTCTAATAGGGGACATATGTAAATTCATATCGAGATTCTTGGCTAGGGAAATAAATGGGATATTAAGAAGGACCCTAGTGTTTTCCTTCTAGGTGTTGTGCGTTCCGTCTTGTGTTAGTATTTGTTAAATTCAATAGTTTTTTTTGCACATTTTCCTTTGCGATGCTAATCCATCAAGACGAAAAAACAGAGAGATGACAGCATTTCAGAGGAGGAAACAGAGAGAGAGAAAGGTGTGCAAACTAAAACTTTTTTGCCACATGCAGTGTTGAAATTCACTTCACACCTGAAATATACCTGATGTCGTTCAAACGCCCCTCACCCCCTGTCATAAGCTTGAGGGCAACTGGCAGGAAGTAACATGTGCCATCTCTCCCCCTCTCATTACCAACCCAATTCCTCTTAAGTGAACTCTTCTGTTATCTTCTAACTTCCTCACCCCTTTTCCTCATTTCCTAAACTCTCTCTCCTCGCTCCTGGGCCATTAGATCAGATGCCTGGGAGGGAGAGGCGGCCATTGAGGTGGAAAACAAAGAGGCTTTTTAAAACTCAGTGGGGGGCACTGAGGCTGGAGAAGGAACTGTAGGGGGTCTGGTGCCCATCCGGTACAAACACCATCGCCAGCCTCACTGCTTCTCTCCTCTGCTCCCCTTTGCCTCCTCTGTGCCAGCCACAAATTCTCTCTACATTTAAAACTTCCTAAACTCCTTCTCCTCCAGAACTCCCATATGTCCTCTTCTCTTTCATCCACCTTTATCTTTCCGTCCTTCTTCCCATTTCCAGCCTCAGTGTCATCGTCTCCCTTCTTAATCGTGCCTCTGCTTATATGTCCTTAGCGGCAGATTAAACAGCTCAGGGTCGTGTCAATGTGCCGTTAAACCGGGTTCACACAGGCCTTTATTTGAACAAGGAGCCCGCATGTTATTATGCATAAATATAGCTGTGGCATTTTTGGCCTTTTCATCACGTGCATTAATATATACAAAAGCTGTAAGAAGAAGGCAGCGACAGACCTTTTGAAGTATGTTGGTCTTTTTGAAAAGGTAGTTTTTTAAATATATTTTAAATCTATGTTAATTTTGTTTCATGTTAGGACTTCTTATGATAATTATTATACAGTAAACAAAATAAACATTCTTTCTCATGATATCAAACATGTCATCATCTTTGTCATCAATTATTCATTTTCTTGGAAGTTTTCATTCAGATGTCGTACTCCTAATGAAACTTTGGTCAATAGAGTAGCTTTGATTGGTTTGAAATGTAGCATTTTGGATTGAACTAAAGACAATGTCTCACATACAGTGCCGACGGAGGAGTTTGCTGGGGGCCTCCTGCTGTCTTCTCCCGTCAACATGCAACCCTTAGTCTGCGCCATTCTCTACACTCCAGTCTGTTCCTTCTGTATCTCCCAGAGTATCTCCTGTAAAGTAAGTATATTATTTACTCAAGTACTGCACTTAAAGTGGACCTATCATGCTATATTTGAATAATATATTGTAGGGCCATACCTATATAAAACATGTCTGTGAAGTTTTTTTTTCAAAATACCAAACAGATCATGCATTTTAGCCATGCCTCATTTCGCTCTATTTGCTCTTTTCCAGCCCTGTTTTTGCAAGGGCTGATTCTGCTTTTGTGGCAGACTACGGCGCCACTTACAAGCCTGGCATATGTACTACAGCGTCTCCAGCGCTTTCGAGCAGCAATGGCCGTGGCCCAACCCCCCATTCCCCTGATAGGTGGAGAGTTGCCCAAATCTGTATCAGACCCGTTGTAGCCCCGTTTTTAGAGATTTGGGTATGGAGGAAAAGAGAGAGGGTTGTGTTTTCTGACACTTGGTGAGTTCCCTGACACACCGGGGACACATATTCATGTATAAAAGACGTACAAAAGTGTATTTTGCATGATAGGTCCCCTTTAAGTCAAATTTTGCGGGACTTGTACTTGACTTGAGTATTTCCATGTCTGGCTACTTTGTACTTCCAACTACAATTCAGAGGTAAACTGTGTACTTTTACTCCACTGCATTTTTTTATACCTTTAGTCACTTCGCAGATTCTGATTAATGATGTGAAATATAATCAACACTTAAATAAGACCTTAGTTACACCTGGAGTAACAACATTCACAAGCTACCCTGCAGCATACACTTTCATTAAAACCAGCTCCACCTTTACCAGCTTTGATGACACTTTAATGCATCAATAATTATAATCAAAACATACAATATATATTATTCTGAAATGGGCCTATCTGCATAATGAGTACTGTAAGTATATGCTTATGCTAATACATGTGTTATTTTATTTGAGTAACATTTTGATTGCAGGACTTTTGCTTGTAACAGAGTATTCATACACTGGTAGATCTACTTTTACTTAAGTACAAGATCTGAGTACTCCTCCGGTCTCCCCCTACCCCATCGTTTGCTGTCTTTGTGTTCACACTCTGATACAATCTGCTGACGGGGGCTTTGCCCTGCTACCTGCGAGGCACTGCTGTGGCCTCAAATGATAGCAGAAAGAAAGGGATGGATTGATGCAAGAGTAAAAAAAAAAAGAAGAACAACAAAGAGCAGCTATATGAAGGATAAAAAATGAATAGGATGCAAAGATAAAAGCATAGATCAGTCAGGTAAGAGAGAGTGACAGAGGTAACAGAGAGAGATGAGGGGAAAGAAAGAGCAGAGAGCGCTTCTGTCATGTCGGATGAAAGCTGTGCCTACTGGGCAGTGGGCACAGCGTAGAGTCACTGATGGTGCCACCCTCACAGCAGGAGTGTGTGAAGGCACAAGGTTGACCAGATGACTGACACACACACACACACACACACACACACACACAGATTACTGAGGATGCATAAGATCCTTGAAGTGGTGGCTTTAAATGTGCTCCACAAGAGGGAGGGAAAGAAGAGGTGAAGAGTGGATGGTGGATGCATGGCGGAGGGCTGGTGCTCTCCCCTCTGTTCCCTGTCCTCCAGCAGTAGTGTCTGTATGTAGGCCAGTGTCCCAGGGCACACTTGGCTGGGGTGACAACAGTTGTAGCCGACAGATTTGCCTCCATCTTGCCTGAGGACTCCCAGTCAGCGATCTGTCTCTTCGATCCATTCCCAGCCCCGCAGGATGGACGGATTACAGCTCTGGTTAATAATTCTGCTAATATCGTGTGGGATTTTCCACTGCTGAACTTATAGCATCTAAAGTTTGACCACTGTGATATTTCTAGCACAATTACAGGGTAAGTGTAAGCATGGCTAGCTAACAGGGGCAAATGGTATGTTTATCCACTGTAAGAAACAAAAGGGATGATGGATGGAAGGAGAGGTGAAGATGGAAATGTGTAAGACTGGATCTGTAAACCAGCACATCACAAAATAATATCGGCCGAAAAAGATCCTAGACCACATTACTCATAGTTTCAGGAGGCGTCAATAAGGGTTGCATTTTTCAAAAACCCCTGAAGACTGAGCCCGTCTTCTTTAGTTCTTTAGTTTAATCTTTGTATGGATATCATCGACCATTAGTCAAAAGTATTGATGTTGCACACAATGACATGCTTTAGGAAACTTAGAGAAGCTCTAGATGGCTTTTATTTGTTTTACTTTGCCTTTTAATCAAACATATACGCATGTCAATGTGAATATTGTTTTGAAGTGATAGAGTTAGGATAAACAATATGTTACTGCTTAAGAGGCAATCATTTTAAAAAGGTACAGTATACTGCTTATTTCCCTGAACTGTTTCAAAACATTTTGTATTTCCATTTGTATTAGTGCCAAGCTTGACACGTGAAAAAAACACGTTATTCGTTAATTACTGTCACATCAAGTGAGTAAACACAGATGGGTTTACAATCAGACTAGAGAAAGGAAGACACTAAGTCATTGTGACAGAAAGACAAAAGGAGATAGAGAGTCAAAGGAACTGAAAGATAAAAGACCAAGTGGGTCTCAACAGATTGAGAGAGAGAGACAGCGAGAGTGCAGAGAGGTGAGAAGGCAGGATGGCAGAGAGGGCACTCCGACAGCGAGGAGAGAAGAACTCGGCAAGGTCTCGTCACCGAGCCAACGGGCCCACCACTGTCAACATCATGGCACTCTGTGGTACACACACATACACACACACATGCACACACACACACACATACACTGCTGGCCAACGGCCCTCCCAGCTGCCCTATCCGTAACTGTCTGATTAGTTGTGCTAAGCAGCCCCTCCCCTGCCAACCATGGTGCCATCTGCTACCCAACAACATGGCTGCCGACCAGCCAAGCACACACACACACACACACACACACACACAAAAATACACAGCAAGCCTCATACCTGGCTCTGCCCCGCTGCTGTCACACAGACACACACATCAAACTTCAGACACAGGTGTAGCCCAAACACTTAACATTCGCACAAAACTGAACGCAGCCTCGCAAACGAGTCAACACTCATGCATGTGTCAGACACACACACACACACACACACACACACACACACACACACACAGTTGTAGGGGTTGTGTGTGTAGTGACAGTGGTTAAGCACTGTTTATGCCAGGTAGAAAGAATGATGCTGTGTGCGTGGGTGTGTGTGTGTGTGTGTGTGTGTGTGTGTGTGTGTGTGTGTGTGTGTGTGTGTGTGTGGTGTGTGTGTGTTGTGTGTGTGTGGTGTGTGTGTGTGTGTGTTCGCTGGCAGTGCTTGAAGGTTCATTATGCGCCCCCCACCTCTCTGAGCGACTGCAGCCCGTGTGGCGCCCTGGCCCTTTTATTGCCGGGCCGTGATTGGACAAGGGCCTCCCGCCGAGTTGGTTTTGCAGCAATTTTGTCGCGCCCAGATTTCACTCGCTGCTCAAAGCGAGCCCTCTGTGCGGGACGCGGCATCTGCTGCCCACCTTCCTCATTTACACTTCTCCGCCTCACACACACACACACACACACACACACTGTTCCTGTTCACCGTCTTTCCAGACCTTGCTTATCACGATGTACAACAGAGGGGAGGAAAAAATAGAGGACAGAACTAGGTTTAGGTGGAGAGAGAGCAGCCAGGCAGCAGCGTGACATGTTTAATAAGAAGTTTGGGACTTCTGATATAGGAGTCACAGCGGTGGTCCCTGGAGCGTTGATTTTCTCCGCTCTCCAGCATCCATCTCTGATTTCAGGGTCACAGAGAGGAGAATGGCAAGCCTAAAACAACAGAAAACGTTGTCTTCTTTTCTAGCTCCATCGACTTGTAACTACTTTTCACCGACTACTTTATTAAATGCTGACAGTCCATTATTGGCTTATTTGCTTTGATTGCACATAATCTCTTCTTTATTAACTTGGTGAGTTTAAGTTCCTTACAAATGACGATACAGCGGGACATATAATCGACTCAAACATGTTCTAGATATGCCCGGTGCCCATGCTGGAGTACTTCCACAGGGAAGGCATCTTGATCTCATGCCTACTGTATGCTGCATCACCTGGCTTCTTTCCTTTCAAAGAGGTAGGGTCCATGCNCTGTGCTGCCTGGGGATGCTCAAATCGCTCCGAGAAAGGAGTACGAATGTACGGCTTCCCCACTGACACAGAGCGGAGGAAAAAATGGCTGGCTCAAGTCAGCAGGAGCAATTTCACGACCAACAGCAAAAAAAAAATATGTGAGGTTATTATTAACACTGCATTTGCACTTTTTCACAAAACGAAAACCACACCATTGGGAAAGCTTAATGTTTTACTTAATACAAAAAAACAGGGAAAGGCTTGAAAAACACAGAGTTGAGACTCAGGGTGCAGGGTGAGGGTCTCAGTGCAGGTATTCAGGCTCCATTGAATCCCCCTCTGGTTCTTGTGCTGAAAGAGGGAGTAACAGACAGGAGAAACGTTTATACACACCTATATAGCACACCTATTGGATGGGAAATTGCCTTGGGGAGATAAGGTGTGGTCTTTGTTCCCAACTGAAGTTATGGAACTTTATTATTTGTGAGTTTAACAAAGTATGACAAATGGCATCAGTAACAGATGTGATATGAATTTCTATAAAGCTGTCTCACATTCTTGGTCATATTTTATATACAGTATGTAATGAGTATAACATGTCCAGTAAGTTTAAAGTGTTTCCTAATACTGTGTATTCAACCACTATTATGGTATAGTGTATGGCACTATGGTATGGTATCCTAGCTTAATCTGTTATCTGTAAACGTTCCCTAAATCTACTAATTTAGGGATAATCCACTGACATCCTTTAATACACATGTTAATTTGAATCAGATGTACTGATAATATCCGCAATATAAATCTTTAAACTTCTTCTTACCTTTAAAAGTCCGTCACGAACGGTCTATTATGCTGCAACTCTACAGCTCTGCTAGCCATGGCGCTAACTTCCGGGGAACGATTGAGAGGCTCCACGATCCGCCATTGCTGTAAAAAAGTGGTCCATTGGAGTGAACGGAGATGACGTAACTCTCAGTCTATATGGCGCTGGTCGGAGTAACACATGGTTTAAATGGTTGAATGAGTAATACAGCTCCTCTACGCTTATTGACCTGTTAGTGTAAAGACAAAGTAGGGCCTTACCAACAGGATATGAATCAATAGGCATGTGTTATCTGACCAAGCGATAAAGAAGACGCTTTGTTGCCTGCACAAATCCAGTTGTATAACAAAGTAAATGTGGAAACAGTCTTGACCTGTTGAGTCACTGCACGATTTTATGCAGTTTCCCATGGGGCTTCTTTTTTTTTTTTTCATTCAAATCATTTTCCATTCTATTGAGTCGGAAGCTGTACTTACATCAGTGACATAAGCACTCCACATCTCATTGTATCGTCTTATTTTGAGGCAGAAGCACTAATATGTTGTACACACACACTTCCCTTGTCAGTCTTACTGTACATCTTGTTCTTTCTTTTCTGTTCATTGAGCATATTCATCCTTCTGGTGGTGGGTTCGATAGCCCCCCGTCAGCCATAGCAGGATGCCACTCTAGTTGAATCACTTCCAGGCCATATGGTTTGCACAGGTGACAGGTGTTAGATGACTTGCCCACGTGTGTGCTTGGGTGTAAGATATAACAAGGAAGAGCGGAAATAGATGGGGAGATGTTTACATTTTTGGCTGATTTTTTTAGTGTTGGTGTCCTTTTTAAAAGAATCACCATGGGTAAAAATTCTAATGTGGACAGAAGGCTGTTCTTCCTCGATGTTTCAGAAAAATACGAGATATGTTACATCAGTTTTGTATATGTTCTCAAGGTGTTCCTGCAATGCTGTAGCTCTTCATAGGACACTTCTTGATTCAATCCCTTAATGTTAATGATAAGCTGTATGATTGGTGAACTGCCCACCCTGAGAGTCCTGATTACAGCCCCCTGACCTTGGAGATATTTTGTACACAACTCTTCTGTGTGTGTTTGTGTTCAGGGGGAGTGTCGTTACGAACAGGAACTCCTTCCTTACCTCCACAAAGCCAATGCTGTTGGCCACGTGAAGAAAGGACCGAAGCAGAAACAGAAGGGTTCAAAGTCCGCCACTAAAACCACCAACGGCAAAGCCAAACCGTGTCACTCGACGTTGTCTGATCTGGAATGCTTTGAAGAGGAAGAAGATTGGCAAAACACACGAAGAAAGAGTATACTTTCTTTATTTGCTGCGACCAAAGAGAAACTTGCTGCTGAACATGTTACAGAGGCGCCTAATGATGGGATCACAGATAGCCGAGGACCGGAGGGTGTGTGTCCTCTTCCCTCAAACAATGACTGTCCAGAAGCTGACATGGATTATGACTGTGTCATTGTTAATGAGCAGCACATGGTCGGTGAGCCTGTAAGCTCTAAAAACACGTCACAGCTGAAGCTTGAAGAAGAGGAGGATGTTGAACTCCAGGCTATGTTCTACCTTCCTAAATGGGATTCAGCCATTCCTCCATCATTTGCTAAACTCCTCTCAGGAAGAGATCAGAGTTTGAAGGTTATCCTGGCAAACGTGGCGGAGCTCCTGTCCCGATCTCCTCCGCCACTGATTGAAGATTTAGAGGCAGACATGGCTGCTCCATCACTTCCTCCGTCTCCTCAGCAACCTCATCAGCCATTCCACGTCAATTTTACACTAGATGTGGAAGAAGACGACGATGATGATAATGATGAAGTAATGCTGAGTGATGCTGATGATGCACCACTGAGGGCAAACTCAGATGAGCATCCAGTTAATAGAGGGGAAGGTAAAATGTATCATGATTGGCCTCTTGAGGATCAGCAGCAGAGCGTCAGCATGGGCAGCCCCACCTGGGAGGAGGTTTTTGGGGAAGAAGAGAACAATAATCATGATATGGGACATGATCACAAGGAGACAGATAATGAGATTCACAATGAGAAACAAGCAGGTGAAGAAGCTAAGAAGGAAATAGAAATGACGGATGATGCTATGACGGAGGAAAAAGAGAGCTGTTGGGTTGATGAGAGGAACCAGGAAATGCCAATCTCGACACACGGTGGTGTGTTAGTTGACGCTCAGATGGACGACAGCATGGATCTGTTTGGGGACGACGAGGACTTCCTGCAGATGACCATCCCAGAAATCTCCACGCCTGCCGGCACTTCCAGGATGTCCCCGGGTGCTAAAGACATGGCTAATACATCAGAAAAGACATCTAACGTTTTACACACACATACACCGACACACCTAAGTGGCCCTACACACACAGCTGAAACCCCCCGTACATCCAATACGGATGATAAAGCTCACACAAAGCACACAACTCCACATGCAAAGCTGAATACCCCAAGCAATATGGAGACAAAACACACGGGAACATCAAGTAAACCTGTAGCAGACAATATAATGACAGACCAGGACATCTCAGCTCATTGTGACTCTCCCACAGTGCAACAGAATTCCGAGTCATTTGACAGCTCCCATGACTACTTCCCTGTCAACTTTGATCTTGGCTATTCCCTGGAGGACTCTGACGAAGCTGAGGAAGAGGCGGTTCCTGCTCTTTCTATGTTGACCTCTCCGCTCCCTAAGGAGGCCGTTTCTACAGCGTCTCCGAGGGCCGTCTCCAACTCCTCCACTCCCTCTTACAGCTTCCATAGACAGAAACCGCCTCTGCAGTCCAGTGAATCTGAAATATCCACACCACGAATGCTGTCGAAGCATAGAAAGAGAGAAACGGCTTCTTTTCTGGCTTCGCCTCTGGTTTCTAGATATGGTGCTGTCCCATCTCCAATCACCTCACAAGGAGCTAGACGGACGCTCCTGTCTGGCATCGCCGGGCCTCGCATCCAATGTTTATTCCCCAGTTTAAGACAGACACAACTGGAGAACTCCCCTCCTCATCCAGGTTTCTACCTACATTTGTTCATAATGCTTTACTTTTTTGTCTTCCTCTTTTTGAACCTGCTGTTGTAAGATGTGCATTTTTCTGTGTCGCCCACCTTCTCTCTCAGTGGAGTGCGTCAGTGACAGTGATGATGAAGTCGTGGTTCATAAAAGGAGAGCTCAGAGCAAGGTCAAACCATTCTCGTCACCTGAAGTGGTGAGTAAGGCCTCTCAATATTAGAGCTGCAACTAATGATTTTCAGAAATAATTGGATTCATCTGCTGATTATTTTCTTGATACATCCTCCGGTCTTATGTAACATTGTGAAGATGCCACTCACCAGAGCTTGTGTTTTTAAATGTCCAACACCAACAAATGTTCTATTTACTATACACAACAACCATCAAAATTGCCTATGATTGTTTTTTTAAAGTGCACCTCTTCCCTTTTCCCTTTCATAACATGTATGACTTGAATACGAAATGATGGCCACTTAAGTTTGAATCTTTGTGTAAACATTTGAAATACAAAGTAGGTAAAAATCCAGAGTCTGTGTTGTTGTGTTTTGGTATGAAAACAACAGACTAGACGGGAGATATCTGATTCAGATGGCTCAGGCTGCCTCTGTCCATCAATTTCAAGGTACTTGCAGTTGTCATGACAACCATTTTGCAAGCAGAAGCATGTGCAGCTCCTGAAAGTTCTTACCAAGACACATCTTGATAAATATGTATGACGTTCTCATATTGTGCAGTGTTTACTGTATAACTCGTGTGTGTATAAGAGAAATGTCTTTTCTCTGCTAGTCGAAGATCTCCAGTGATGTGGACTCCCCGCTGGTAGTGAAGAGGAAACGCACAGCTGCTCTTAATACTGTGAGATTTCTATCATTAGCAGTAAATTACACCAAATGGTTCAACCTATTCAACTTTACATACTTTCACTCCATGCATTACTAATGATCAATTCTTTAGTCCTACTGCTTTGCTAATATGCATCTTCCTTAGCCATTAGCAGTGTACAGTACGTGACTCATTTGTTCTCTCTCCAGTCTGATGAAATGGAGGACCAAACTGTCTCCGATGATGATTTCCAGAATGTGTTCACACACAGAAACACAGCACACGGAGCTGAGAGGGAACCAGTCCAACAGAGCAAAGCCAAGGTCTGTGTGGCAACAGATGACTCTACAGAACGCTGTGATCAGAGTCTGAATTATAACGTGTATACTTTAAGTTTGTATACCTGCGTAGATGCATATAGAGCTCTGGTTAGTGAAAGATGTATATGTATGTTACTTTTGTTTTTACTGATGAGCAGAACATTTGAGGTTAATGAGTGTATTTCCTTCCTGCATTTTATTTTTATACCATAAATAAGTAATGTGTTTTTGGGGCTGAAAACAGTTTCGTGCTGCGTCCAAAAAGAAAACACTGAGTGTTGAGAGTGGAAAAAAAGCTGTACATGTAAAGAATTCTGAGTGAAGAGGCAGATTCATGTAAAAACTCTTCAGTGTTAATCCATACGAGCGACCCCTTTTACATTTTTATATTGTAATTTCAAGGTTGATAGATAAGATAAAAGATAGAGAAAATCTAACTAATATAGCTGCTCTTAAATCACACAAAATAAAGTTGTTTTGCCTCCCTCAAAACAATCATAAAACATTCCAGACACCTTCCTATGAACATCGAATGTCAAGTCTATAAATATCTATCACACACACCGTCAACACCAATCAGCTTTGGCATTTGTCATTTTGTTATCCTCAGCACCCAAAATGTCGAAGGGGTCGGCAGTTCCTGGATGAAGAAGCAAAGCTGTCGTCGGAGGAGGAGGGGTCGGGCGTGTCTTCTGATGAAGAGGATGGAGAAGATCAGAACCACTCTCTGGAAGGCTTCGTGGTGAACAACACACACTGCTCTCAGGGACTGAATGGTACACCATGGATTCATCTGAAGAAATTAGATTTTTTTTTGCACCCTAGTGAAGTATATTTCAAATGTAATCAACCGAGTGTTTGAGTTGAAGATGGCTTCCTGTTTGTTTTATGACAGACTCAGAGATGCAAGGTGTCTACCTAAAGTCTGTGAGAAGCCCAGCTGTCCATGGAAAGTTTAAATTGTCCTACAAAAATCATAACAACATGGACATATTTTCTCAGGTATACTGGATATTTCCTTCTCAATGCATATATACAACTTATCATAACAACGGAAACAATTAAGATTGACTCGAGTCCATGTTCCTAACAGGTGCCTGAGATGGATGAAACATATGCAGCGGACAGCTTTGTGGTGGGAAGTGATGAAGAGGAGGGGGAGATCAGCGAGCAGGAGGCTGAAGACATTGAACTTATGCCCGAGGAGTCGTATGTGGAGGGGCGGAGGCAGTATGCCACCAGACGGCGGGTTTTCCTCCACAAAGCCAGAGCAGGCGCCAAGGCTACACCTGGATGTCCTCCAAAGACGGCTGGTGTGAAAACCAAACGCACCCGTGTCATACACATGAATGATTCAAGTGATGAGGAGATGGAGGAAGCTATAAGGAGAAGTCTAGCAACTGAAGAGGGTGTTGCTGCCCCCTTGTGGCCACAGGCAGTACAGCCTAAGCCTAACAGGCAGCAGCAGCAGCAGCAGCAGCAGCAGCAGCAGCAGCAGCAGAAGCCTTCCTCCTCCTCATCCTCTTCAACCATAGCATCCAAAGTCTTGTTGCTGAGCAAGGCAAAGAGGAGCTCAGTGAGTGCGGAACAGCAAAATGAGAGGTAAAGACATTCTCATCTGGTAGCACACAAACAGAAAGATTCAATTCAAATAGCTTTATTGGCATGACCATAATGACATACAGTACCGCCAAAGCTTTGTACAATCACAACATCTATACATAAGTATACATTTGGAGTGTACGGTGATGTTCACAAACATTTTGAACAAGCAAGAATATCATGTTTTCTTTACAAGCAATATAGTTGTTGAACACGAGCTATAAAAGTAATTATTCCATTAAAAAACACAGAACAATAGAAAAAGTTAAGGTTAGTTATTGATTATTGTGCAGGGAATATTGAGGAAACATTCAACAACCACTAGAGAATCATTTTCTTTCTCGTGCAGGCATCGTCGGAGATTAGAAAATCAGCATTTGCTCTCTGATGAACTAGACTTTGCAGAGTCCGATTTGCCGGTATCCTCCAAGAAACAACCCCAGGTATGAGCACACATGACACACACACACACACACACACACACACACACACACACACACACACACACACACACACACACACACACACACACACACACACACACACACACACACACACACACACACACACACACACACACACACACACACACACGGGTTATACTCAGTGTTAGAAGGGAAACTTAATAATAATAATACATTTCATTTATATAGCACACTTTAAAAACGACGTCCTCTCAATGTGCTTCACAATGCTATCAGGAGAAAATAAAATAAAAATATGGTAATATAAAACAGTTTTTTAGACTACGTCGAGATGAAACGGAGACCTGCCTAATCATTTCACAGGTTCCTGTCTGGAGATATGCATTATATGTTTTGCATAAAAGAGTTATTGTAAGTGGAGTGAAAGGTCATCAGAGCATATTAAAGGTGCTTACGTTTCTAGATAATGATTCTACGTACTACCGACATTATTTCTCACCCGAAAAATTTTGGCGTGTTACATAAAAATTTGAACACGAAGGCAGCCATCCACCACCTATGTTGATAAATCTTCCAGATGTGAAACGTGACGACATTGTATCTGGTACGCTCAGTGTTCACCTATAAAATCTCACTTGACCAAAGTAAACAATTTCGGATGATCAAGTCGGTATTGCACATAAATGTTTTAATAAACCCCTATGGTTTTCGTGTGTTTGTAAATGATAACTATTTCGCTAACTAGAAAGTATGACCGTCCTCCCACACCTATCAATAACTAGTCTATAGGAAAACTTTGTCCGTCTTAACCTAAAGGTGTCTCTGCCCAAACACTTTACTCTCACTGTTGTATTGCCAGAATAGTCTGTAGCACCAATCCCGGGGAAACGCAAGAGAGTTACATTGGAAGTCAGTAATATATTGTCACCGTGGTTTGTCCCGTCGCACTTGGAGAACAGTGACAATTCCGACGTTGGTAAAGTGTTTGTAAAATGTAAATCGGGTCCAAAGTTTACATTTGAGATTTGGCGATTGTGATACTTTGCTACGGTCGCGGGCCGTGCTCCTTCAGGGTGCAAATACGAAATTTACAGAGCATGATCTGTGTGGCAGCGACGACGACCTTGAGCAGTTAGCTTCCAATCTGACTCGTACTTTGTCGAACCCCCACAGGGATGGTGTCTTATGACATACTATGACAACTTAACCCACAAAATTACAGTAGGTGAAATATGCACAACTTTCACACTTAATTAGCCGATTTATTACAAAAGAAAATTAATATGTAGACACAAAAAGACAAAGATCTACATAAGCCAAACTGAGTCAACCATAAAACTAAAAGAAATAATTATCACTTAACAAAATAGACAGACTACAATATAACAATTGATAAAAACGGTTTACGTCTGTCGTCGTTTGTGGAACATCGAGAACTTTACCTCTTTATTTCCAGTTGTAAAAAGAGTTAAAAATCCTTTTTGACTAGAACATGTGACAATTTTATTTTTTGATATTTATTTTATTTGACTACTCAACTAAATCCCATTCACTGGGATCTTTTTTAACACTTCAGACTGGAGATCACCAATATCTAACTTAGTCTTTCGACATTTAAACTATGACTTTCGAGTAAGTTTAGGAAGTGTATTTACACCACACTATGAAAACATATTTTATATTTAACCAAATAATTCTTTCCAATATAGGAAAAAAGAAAAAAATTTGTTTACATAGGTAATACTGTTTTATTATTCAATAAGTTTCACTGTTGTTTATTATACTAAAGAATACTGAAGGAGTACCATTCAGCGAAATTGACTCAGACTGTCGTAATTCCGGTAAAATAGTTCTAGTGTAACATACAATATTGTTTGACTTGACCACAAGGGAATTATAGGACTGACAGCAAGAGAATATCGTACCTCTTCAACGACCTGTATCGAATTTCATTGACAGGAGACCCCAAGGAGCTCTTGCCTTATGGTTCGTTGTCTTCCTTGTATAACAGAAAAAGAATGTCGCGAAGGGAGGGGCGACGGATCGACGAGAAGGGACGACACCTACTCAAGTAGTAGCTTCCTCAGTGTCTCATCGCGGTCCTTCGCCATCTAGGGAGCGAGACCTAGCTGAGATGCGGGAGGGAAGACATACCGAGTTACTCGACGTCCCCCTCTCCTGGTGCGACACACATTAGTTAGTTAGTTGTTGACATAATTAGGGCGTTCCCCGTTAACCATACTCGTCAAAACAGTACATGTGTGTCCGGTCCTTGTATGTCCTTCTTATCGTTGTGTCGCTATGGTGGGCCCTCGTCTCTAACACCTTAGTAAGTTAAATCTATTCTCAACTATCGTAGGTGTTAGTTTATCTTTTTTGGATTAGTTGCTTAAATTCCAAACTCACGTCTCCCTACTTACTAAAACTTTTCGCTAAACAAATTCTCGTCCATCTTCGTATAGAAGCGGGACTACGTTGGCTTGTTTAATTAGACGTTCTTACGAGAGGACCGAAAGGGGGGGCGACGACCAATGTTTTTCCTCATAATTCAGAGAGAGGCTACGGGAATCTCGTCCAAAAATCTATTGACAACAAGTCCGACAATGAAGGAGAGTCACTTCCCTTTCTTCGGCTTTGTACAAACTGGGTGCTACAGTGTGAGAAGGAAAGATGGACAACTACTCAACCCGCTACCTCGACTTCAACAACCGACGTCCGACTCCCGCACCTGCATCGAACTGCCTCCCGTCCGGGCTCCATGTCGACGTCCCGGACGACGGCCGCTGGGAAACTGGAGGTCGCCGTGCGACTAACGGACTGGAAAGGCGACGAGGTCGGCCCGGCCAGGACGGTCGTCTCGGCCGCGAGACGAGTCGCGGCAGCAGGTGTCGTCCGCGTGGGGCCATGAGTGGTCTCGGCAGTCTCACGACAGTATCGGTTGCGCCTAGCGCTTATGCCTGCACTGACGGAGGTTTGACACCTCCTCTGTTAATAGTAACAGTTTAATAGTGATATAAATACTCGTCTAAGTCAATGAATGTCTAAAGGTCTAATAGGTTATCTTTTATCTTTATATTGTTACTTACTACTATATAACGAATATCCTACTCCCGAAAGTGATCTAATTATTTCAGAAAGTTTAACGAGGTAGAGATTGGTCGACGTAGTCATTAGACTTTATTTGGTGAAGACTGTGACTAACGAAAATGAACACAATGATAATATTATATAAACTACGGATGTGAACTCATTGACAAATGAGTACAGTCTGAAATTTACGTCCTGAAAATCCACATTCTGACCACTATTGCGATGAACAAAATTAAAATTTATACACTAATCAAGAAACTAACTACATTATTAAGGATAATTTAATTAATAACACACTTGATTCATATAAAAGAGACATTTAGGTTTATATCCGGATTATTAGACTGTTTTAGCAACGACATAGTTTAAGTTGGCAGGACTGACTTGACCGAACCCTGGCCAGGAAAGGGATACTCTGTTTAGCGAGCTTGTTTGGGGACGTCCGACAAGGTGAGAGAGTCGGTTAGCGAAGGCCAAGACGCAAACGCGGTCTAGACTAACCGACACGAAGAGGTGACGGCACGCCGGTAGACGACGCTGCTACTTCATCGACGGCAGGGTCACTGCGTCTGGCACCTCCCACGACGCACCGCGACTGCCTCCGACCAGTAGTCCGAGGCTGGGAGGTGACTCCGTCGGGCCGACAGGTGGTCCTTTTACGTCTGCCCTCCTCGTGACCTCCTACTTGAGACTCGCCTCCTGCAGAGCGCCGAGCTCCCCGTCCCCCCGGACCTGCGACGTCCTTTAGGAGGTTTACATCAAATAACTTCATAGGCAGCCCTAGTACCCGTCAAAGAGTATGCCTGGGAGACGTTAGTGTCAAAAATTCTTTTCGAAGTTGTGGGTGGACAAGGCGTGGTTCAGAATGACTGAGATTAAAAAATAAATAAAAAATAAGATTGGAAAATA